TTGACCCTTCGTCTTGTGCAAATTTTTTTTGTAAGTTTCAAAAATCTTATGTATGACTCACTTCATCATTATAAGGTATTTTAAGCATGTCTTATGTTTTTTTATGTTTGCACAAAATTTTTAAATAAGACGAGCGGTCAAACCATGATAAAAAGTCAACAGGGACAAATATTTAGATATGGAGGTAGTACATAAGGGAAAAAAACTAAGGTTTCTCAATCTTGGTAGTGCGTATACAGATAGAAAGCAGTTTATTTGGAAATTGTAGTAACGAACGCTAACTCGCGGCCAACAGATGAGATACTCCACTACTGTATATATTATACTGCCACAACACACGAGCTGGGGACGCACAATTAACGAACTGCACAAGATTAATACGGAGACAATCTAACATTTTACAGCAGACGGCACATGCTGATAACTCAATGATCGATGTGAATGGCAATAAATATAGATAAATACAGGGAATAACTAATTACCGTATTAATTAGTTACCAGGGAAATACTACATGCATGCATCTCTCTCATATCAATGGGCGCCCTTGAGTCTCATGAGCGCCGTTATGATACCGATAAATCCACCAAAGGCGGAGCCAACCGCGACGATGTACTTCCAGTTGTTGTAAAGAAACGCGTACACCTTGATCCACGGCCTCTTGTTCTTGTAATTCTGGATCTCTACCATGACGAGGGCATAGCAGCGTCCTATGCGCAGGCTCTGCAGGCTGGTGAAGAAGTCGAATGTCTTCTTGTTGTTGAGCCCTGCTCCTCCTCTCATGATACCCTTGGTTCGCAGCTCATGCACGTCCTCCTCCCGATGCATCAACATGCACAGGAGGAGGTACGAGCAGACAGCAGAGTCTTCAAATTCCGCCGTGTCATCAAAAAAATCTGGAGTCGTGCATAGCTCGAGAGCCGCCATGTTGACGAGAAGGCTTGCACGTGCATCGTTGAGACACAGCGGCGCCATGGTGAGCTCGGCGAAGATGATCCATTTCCTGTCGAGGCCCATGTCTGGGAGCTCCGTTGTTTCCTTGGCTGTGACGAAGATGCCCATTTCGGCAAACTCGATGGCACCGGCAAATGATATTGAGTCCATTTTCTCTAAATCTGAACGTGTCACCTTGGTTTTCCTGCTTCTTTTTCCTACAGCGTAGAATCGGAGGAGGCCAAGGAGATGCGGGGCTTTATTGCAGTAGTCTTGGTCCCAGTCAACACCAGGCAATTGATCACGTTTAGCCAGGTCTTGCAGAAAGCCATCTCGTCGCCACATAGCAATGAAACTCTTCATTTCCTGCAAGGGCTCGGACGTGCACATGTCCATGACGGCGTCCACCACCTGCAAGGGGATCTGGTTCTCAAGCAGCATGATGTCATGAGCGATGTCATTGTCGTTGGACTCGAAGAAATTGTACAGGTCCGGGTCGAACGGCTTGCCCGACTTCCTAAGCATGTATATCACCAAGAAGCAGGCGTCATAGAACATCATAGGTAGGAAGTCGTCCTCATAGCCGATACCTGCCATCACGTCCTTGTCGTAGAGGCCGCGGGCATCGATTTCCCAGGCGACGGAGACCACCGCGTCATATATGTACCGGACCGAGAGGCCGGAATTGTCGTTGTTGTACAACTGGATGCAGTACTGCGCAGCCACATGCTTCATCTTCTCCGCCTTCTGGAGGTGGTCTCGGCGGTGGTAGTAAGGGCCGATGGCCACGACCTTGGGCACAGTACACCAATCGCCGAGAGCTTGAATGCTTGGAGGGTACCTATGCATCTTCGTTTTCATCAATTTGGCATCATCCTTGAACTCCTTCTGTCTTTCCTGGAACAGCTTCTCAGGGCTATTCATATAGGTCTCCATAGGATCTGGATCATGGTGCTGTGCGGCCGCAGCATAGTAGTTGTAGTAGTTGTACTCAACCAGTTGCTGCTGCCCTCCGCTAGAGTAGCTGCTAGCAGGGACGACATACGGTTGGAGGCTGCAGGAGGAACCAAATATGTCAGCGATGGACGCATACTGCAAAGGGTGGCCAACGGCAGGAGCCCACACTTCTTGAGCATCATCAGCTGGTGCTTCTTCAGCGGTCCAGTTCATCGCCAGCTGAAGCTCGTAAGGTCCCGCCCATGCAGGAGTGGATGTGGATTCCATATATGCGCTGCTAGCTCCGACCACCAAGCTGAACGCACGCAGCAGTATATGTAGCTTGCTGCAAGAAGCACTGCACAAAATTAAGGGAATGTAGGAAATGGTGAAGAGTGAAACATGCAAGAGAACGAAACTGCATGCTAGCTAGCATATAATCAGAATTGAACGTAATGTGCTAATGAGAGAAGCATATATTCAGGGTTAGTAACAAGAGATCCAAATGAGGAAGAGAAATGATTACTTACAGCGAGCAGGGCAGAAGAAGCACACAGCCTTCACGACGCTCCTCTTATAGAGCGTCAGTTCCTATCGTGCAGGCACGGTCATTTAAATAACATTGACCAATTGCGCTTTACGACAACGTTTATGCATGTATACTAGCTTTGGCCTTGATGCACATACCCCACATATGGTTGGGGCTACCCCATATCTCTCACTCACGACAAGATTTACGGCTACCACGCCAACCACACACACACACACACACACACACACACATGATATATACATACACTATCTTGCTCCGAACTGAAGAGCCTTGTTGGTGCACCCCTAGCCCGGTGAAGGTATTAAGCTGATTAGGCTATGTTTCTTCAAAAATCAGTCTGTTGCCGGCGGCGGCTGTGTGGTCATCAGCACAAGAAATCTTCACATCTTCAATAAACAAGTTGCTATAAAATCAAGCATTAACCATGATAAATCATAGCGATAAGAAAATACTTTCAAATATGAATCTAATGATATTACTTTCAGATAAGTAAATCTATATTTCCTGGGTCCAATAATTGTTGGTTGAATATTATAAGGTTTGACTATTGAAGTACTCTCTTTGTTTTAAAATGTAAGTCACTGTTGATTTCTTTATATACCTTTGACCTCTCGTCTTATTAAAAAATTACTGTGAATAAATAGAAATATGAGTCAAACTTAAGTTATCTATGATGATAAAACAAGTCAAGACAAAATATATGATACACAATTTTTAATACTAATTTAATGCACATGTGTTGCTACGGGCAAAATAAATATATAATTATATTTTTTGTGAAAAACCAATATAGACGCAGACACTTATAAATGCATGCACACTTGCCCTTATAGAATTATATTATCGTACAGGGTAAACTCTAATGCAGGTGAGATATGAAACTTAAAACAATCTAATAAGCTTCTCCTATCATTCCCAGCAGTTTTCATCCTAGATATGTGCATGAGTAGAGAAATTCAGATAAATACTCATCACAATTTAGGCTATAAAATGCATATGATTTTGTAAGGGCGCTTGCTATTTAGTAGATAGTGAAAGATAATTAAGATGAGTTAACCACTGACTGGTCATCATAGATTCAGTTACACTCTCCACGTATCCATACCATTGCGTTAGGCTACAAAGAGATAGAGTTTTGGGCATCAGCTGATTTGAGCCGAGCAAGCTAACATTTGTGTTGCTTTAGGCTACAAACTGATAGAATTGTGTGCACGAGTTGATTTGAGCAAAGATAGCTCTCTAGGGCAAACAGAAAGATAGAATAAATGCACTCATGTCCGAGATTTTTTTTTTCCAGCCTCTACATCAACCAGGGATGTACACAGATATTACTCATGTCCGAGATAGCTCTTTGAGGAAAACAAAAAGATAAGGGCACCCTAATAATATATCAATTATTCCTGTGGCGGGCAGAATCTCATCATTAACCGGTTTGCTTGTGACGACATTTATGTCAGTTTGGTCTTACTTGGCGCATGTGCAATCAATTCTATGGTTGGTGCTGCGTAGTAGTACAATAAAATATAGCTCGATCGATCACGCCAATATGTTGTACAGCTACGTGCCGCCAACCATGCATGCATACATACATACATGCAGACATACAGTGTCGTCGAGGACTTCAATGCAGCCACAACAACGATCAGTCACAACAGTCGGCATGCATGGTTGATGAAAAAGCACCAAAAACATATGACGCCAAAGCTCTTCACATGTATGCAGCACGCAGGAAGAAAAATGTTGTGACCCGTGAGCTAGTGGTCCATGACCACGATTGGCCTGGGTAGAGATCGAGCATCAATGATGCTTACCTGTCTTATGTATGTATGTATGTATGTATGTATGTATGTATGTATGTATGTATGTATGTATGTATGTATGTATGTATAGCACTTCTTGGAAATATTATTAGTAGACGTTAATTGGGACGGCTACAGTCGCTGCAGCTTAGGCCCGACACGTACGGCAGACCACATAGTGTGGAAGAGTTCTAGCTAGACGGAGCATGGAAATAAAACTCCTTACCTTCTGCTCACTTGTGATTGTTACAGAGATCCTTTTAGTTATGCGTGCGCCTATCTATCTCGGTGCTACTCGGATCATGTCTGATAGATAGATGTCTCTACCTCTGAAAAACCTCCACTAAAAAGGGGAGACACCAAAGCAGCAAGTGAGAGTATGTGGGAGTTCCTGCGGACAATCTTTATTTTGCTAATGCACGGCCGGCCTGCGTGGCGTTTTATTTTTACGCAGCGGCTAGGGTAGTGGATATACGAGGAAAAGTATGCATGATGTTCCTTCATTATCGTCATTCGCGATAGCCAGCCAATTGCCCATACTGTATCACCAAGGAACTCAACGGAAACAACAATAGGGGAACCAGATACAGAACAGGCAAATAACCCGAATACATCAAGAGGGAGGCTGAGGATCAGGTACTTTTCGCAATCTATTCTTTCAATGTTCGCGACTGGTGGCTCAGCATAAATCCAGGGCTAACTCGACGCATTCAGCGTAGGTGAGAAATCTATCATCGTTCTGATTACGAACATTTAGACAAAAGATAATGGTGGGCCAAATTTATCCATCGTATTCCTCATTGGCAAATTTGTCCTCCGCGTAGAAAACCGCAACCACGGGGTTCCCACCGAATTTCCTTCCGTGCAATGCCGTCTTTGCTTTGGCAGCACCATCAACATCTGCATATTCCAGGAACACCTGCAATGGCAAGCCCATGCATCAGAAACAATTCAATACAAATGTTACAGTACAGTTTAAACCTCAAATCATAGTAAGGCTCACCTTTCCAACGCCTGCAACTGGCTGTCCACTGGGGTCAGGACGTGGGATCACAACTTTCACCAAATTTCCTGAGGAAAGGACTTTTCTTTATGAGTACTGACTACGGTAACTGTACTGACTAATCAACATAACAATTGAATCTGAAACTATTGGAGTCAGAAATAGCATATTGAGAAAAGGAAAAGATGGAGAAGTGAACTCTAATTCTGCAGGAGATCAACAGTAAATACCGTATTTGCCTGCTTCTATCCTCATGTCTTCCATAATGTCCTCATACTCTTCATCATCTTTCAATTCATCTGCACTTACCACCTGGGTGAGGCAAACAACCTTTGTAGGCAGTGCTCCAATTTTATACACAAGTTTCTGTTCACAAGAGCAACTCTCAGGAACAGAACCCAACATCAACGGTAAACGTACAACCTGACTGACATAACAGAACAAAACATTGCCATGGATGACAATTACATAGTTTGGTCTATACCTGTAACTGCACCTGTTGCTGTGCCTGTAATAGGATACTTTCCTGCTCTGGTCTGGGCTGAGATGCCCCCGCCTTGTTTGCTCGTCTGACAGTAAGGTTTTTGTCCAATGTTCTAAATGGCGGGATTTAGCCCCAGCTATAGCGGTATTTAGCGTTTTAGAGGGTTTGTTTGACGCTAGGCATTGAAGCATTTAGCGCTACAGGGTAATTTTTCCGCTATTAGCGGCTAATAGCGCGCTACGTCCACTAAACAGAGGTCCTTTTAGAGCCGCTATTGGCATCTGTGTGGGCTTTCATTTCACTTCGGCCCATATCACGTGCCGGCCCAAAGCAACTTAATACACTGCCCATTGGAATGCTGTCGCACTAAACCTATCCATTCTCTGATTCCTCTCCGACATGCAAGATTCCTGTATAGTCTGTTCTTTACGTATTTGGCTGCATCTGACTAACTGATTCGCTTAGAATTTTCTGTAATTGGTATTTGTGACGTCTTCAATTCTTCATCTTCCATGTTTATTGTGTTAAATTCCCCTAAATTTGACATATTTTTGCTCAACCGCTAAATGATTTAGCCCACTATATCCTTTCTTAGCCTTTGGGAAAGCCAGCCGCTAAGAGGCTTAGCCCGCTATTAAAAACATTGGTTTTGTCCCCCATCTTGATACCATTTAGATCAGCGCAAGCAATGTCAGTGACATTGAGGTCCTAGTAAAAACAGAATGCATAGCCCTTTGAGTTACCGGTTTCCCTATCCTTCACAAGATCGAATCCACGTAGAGGACCGAATGATTCAAGCAACTCCCGAACTTGATCTTCAGTGAAGTAATTGGGAAGGCCATCCACAAAAATACGATCTGGACCTTCTAACCCTCCAGCAGATCCTGCTGTTAGGCCAACTGCAGAAAGATTCAGATTGGGGCTTGGCTGGTTTGGGCCCAGTGCAGCAGCCAGAGAAGGGTTATAGTCTGTTGGCCTTCTAACCTTCACTGGAGACCCTTCAAACAAAATGCCATCCAGGGCTATTGCATTGCTTGCTTCCTCGACAGATCTCATTTCCACAAAAGCAAATTTCTTATCATGGTTTATGTAGACATTATGAATAGCATCGCCTGGACCAGCAGTGTTTCCTCCAATAGCAGCCATGACTTGATTAAAGTAAATTGCCACTGTCTGCAGAAAAGAAAAACCAACTGAACCAACAGTTGCAAATTATATGCACAAGTGATGTAAATTAACCCAACTTCTAGTAATATGGAACTGTTCATTAGCAGATGGAGGAAGGCCACCAACATAAACACGCCGAGCATGATGAGTAGCCTGAAAGACAAGGATGTTGGCACATTGTTTATTGAAACCTGCAGCAAATTATCAACAAAAGAACCACATACCTGTTGAGTCATTGCTTGTGGCTGGATGACAAGGGGATTGAACTGATTCAAGAAAATGAATATGGTTACAAAGCAACAAATGTCCAGTTCAGAGATTAAAAAGGACTTCTAAATTCCTTCAAAGTTAAAGATACAAAGATACTAAATGAAGGAACAATCACCTGTCCACCAACACCAACACCAAAAGGAGGGAGCATGTTTTTTTTTTTTTTGAAAGAACGAGGGAGCATGTTTGGAAACATGCCAGTAAAAGAAGAGCCTGTTATACCGACAATGTAGCAATAAATTTCAAGTAGGAGGTGTAATTAAGTAGCAACTAAGGTATTGCTCCTGAAAAACTGTATAGACCTAGAACCAGCTATGCAGCATTCAATGTCAAAGAATTAATAATATATGTGCAAGGACAGATGTAATAATCATGAAGCGAGTGATTATAGTACTCCTCGCTAGTTGAAAGATGAACATGATGGATTTCAAACCGGAGCAATGATTCCTCCTTGTACATTAAAGCTACAGTTGGCAGCTCATTCCATTGGAGGCAGTGGGGCAAGTGACCAAAGATTGCCTTCTTATACCATATACATACACAAAACAAACAAACAACAAAAGAACAGAAGCAGAAAATTTTGGTCAGTTTTCAGTTATTAGATAACAGTAAAACAAAAAGTGAACTTATTTGCACTAGAAGATGTTATCATACATATAAGATCTCCAGCGTATGCTTAAAGGGTACAGAGAGAAAGCAATCATTTGTTCACACTTTCACTATAGGTGCCTTCAGGACAAGTATCTCTCCAAGCACCTTATTCAAGGCTACAATAAATAATCCCATATTATTATTTCCTCATGCTATCACCTTATTCTAGGTGAGCATCTTTTAGCACTTTTGTATTGGAGTTAGGTGTGCAACTTAAGGTGCTTGGAGGTATGGCACCGCCAAGAAAATGTTCAGCAGACTCTACTGAAGATGCCAATTGCCAAAGATTGCAAAGTTTTATGGTGCACAGAATTATTGGTCTCCTTTGGAACACAGGAATTTCACAGGAATCTCACAGGATTCAGTTTAATTTAATAATTTCACAGGGAAAACATAGGATTTGGGAAACAATCCCGCATTCCAAAGGGGGCCTCAGTATAAACTGATGCAAAGTTCAAAAATTATTACTGGGCTGATGAAATGCTAGGAAATTATAGTAATGGCAATTGACATAGCAACAGTATAGCAGTGATGGAAATGAGTGGTTGGTGAGTAACAACTACAAATAAACTATAAAAAATTGCAGAGATAAAAATACAAATAGTTAACTGAGTTGATGAGAGCATACTTGGGGTTGGAATAACAAGAAACGTAGAAGCTGATTGTGGGGGTGGCGCATCGAACCCACTCACTCACTTGCTGCTTCAACTCAACATAATGGGTATCAGTGAATGATGTGAAACTGAAGTATAAAATGGAAGACCGAATTTTGAATACTGCATGAGATGAGTGATTATATCTAACAAAGGCATAGATGCTATCTCTTAGCTAAAGCAATTAGCCGCACTTATTGAAATAAGCAGTGTGCATGGCTCAAATAAATTTTGAGGCAATAAGGGGCAAAGGCAAAATACAGGAAAATTTTAAACATAATACATAAAGGAAAACACATCGATTTGGCTTTTCTGCGTAAGTAGTGGTATAAAGGCCAAAAGGTAACTTCAAGATGGTATAAACAGGTTGTGTGTCTAGACATCAATAACTGATTATACACCCATTTAGGACCTTCATTTTCTTACCTTCTTGAACGAGAACGAGATCTAGATCTGCGATCCCTGCCCCTTGATCGAGATCGATGCCTCCTGTGGCCATCTCTTTCATGGTCTCTTCTCCTGTTAGTTATTATATATACCAGGATTCAAAATTCGATAAATAATACAAGCAAACTATAAATGTGAGTCCCTCACTAACAATCTGAAACACTATCAGGACACATAATTGAGTAAATTTTCATGAAAATCAACAAGAACGAAAATGGCCACTCTTGGAAAAAGAGCACTGTTTCTTAAGCATGATAAGGTGCATGTAAACAGAGATACCTTTCAGAATCACAGCCTCTGTGATGAACATGGTTGTCAGGACGGTCTCGGTGTTCCTTCCTATCCCGATGATGTCTGTTGTGGCGATTCCGTTCCCTCTCTCTGTCCTGGGCCCCATCCCTGTCCCTTCCTCGATCTCTATCACGATCCCTGTGACGTTCCCTGTCCCTATCTTTTTTCTCTATCCCTGGATTTTGACAACCCATCGTCAGGCAGATGAGTCTCGCCCTATAGATAAAGAGTATACGACAACATTAGTCTAAATTTATCGACATAGAAAAGAGATTAGCTAAAAAGAGGAGTATTTCTCTGGATGACAGAATAAATCAAGGAAAAGTGGGGCGCAGTACACTAGCAGTAAGTCTGCATTATGAATAACCAAGAGTTTGAAAGGCATGTGGCCAGTATTTCCAAGCACTTGAGGTTTTAGCATCGTCAAGTAGCTTCCCCAGTTCCATCAACCGGGCAGGTCAAGGCTTAAGGAAGTATAGGTTCACAATTAGAGTGTATAACAAAGTTGCACTTCCTTATTCATTTTTTTGAGTTCCGGAGTCGTTTTAGTACCAGCATGGTTCGAAACCCTGCCTTGTCTGTAAGAAAAACAGCAAAAAGCATCATCGCTAAAAACAAATCTGGTCACCCATTTAGCTACACAGAAAGACGTGAGCAAATTTGCTCCGTGTCTGCCTTCCACCATTGCATTGTTCCACCCAGTGATTAACAGATCCACAAAGCAAGACCAAACTAAAAAACCTTTTACCTATGCACTAATGCAGCAACCAATTAAGCAACCTACCAGCGCTGATGACAACAGCCATGTCAGCAAGCGGACGGATCTGCTGCAGCTATCTGAAAGCAACCAAAGCTCAAAAAGGGGCAACCACGCCAAGTGGAGCACACATCCATGTCGAAACCCCTAAACCACTCCAGGCTCCCCGACTAGGTCCACCGTCCACCGCACCCGCATGGATGGATCGAACGGCATAGGATTGGGCGAGGCTCGCGGCGGCAAGTACAGACGGATCGAAACGAGGGTGGACACCGCGGCCCTAGGAAATTTCGGCGCGGAGATCGGGTTCCCAGCATAGTAAGGAGGGGTTAGCGGGGATCACCTTGGGGAGGAGAGCCTCCGCGCAATCCTCGCCGCCACCACCGCAGCTAGGGTCGTCAGACATCTCAGGAGCCGCGCTGCTCCGGCTGGAGGGTTTGGGGGGCTTTCGCTGGCATCGTAGCGACTCGCGAGGCCAAGCTTCTTCTGTTCCTTAAATTTTTATGGAAAAAGTCCATTTTGCCTCCCCAACTATCACAAAAGTCAGCTTTTCCTCCCTGAACTTTAAAACCAGATATAATTCCCCTCTCATTTCTCAAAACTGGTCACATGCGTGTCAGCAACTCTGCTACTACATCGACAAGCTCGGGAGCCGCTGTGCACGACGTCGCTCATGACAAACAACGCGACGTCGCCCACGACACGGAAGCGGTACATGGGCCTCGACGCAGAGCATGGGAGCATAGGCCCAGCACATGGGTTCAAGGCCCAGAGTGGGCATGAGAGTTCAATAGCTAGAACTCAGTGGCGTGAGAGAGTAGCTTAAGTATCTGGAGAGAGGAGAGGTGGGCATTGTAGATGGTCGATAACGTCAACTATAAACCATTAAAATGATATACTTTTATCCTTTAAATCAATCACCAACATAGGTCTAGAGGTTTAAACTAGCTATTCCACAAGTTTGGATGATTTCACAAGTGCAGGAGCATTTAATCAGAAAACAGGTCAAAGGGGGCCAACTTAAGTCAAAGAATCAGATCCACTCACCACGAAACCAACTCAAATGGGCCATAAACATCCACACCTATCGAGGGGACAGAGCCCTCCTGACAGGTGGGCCAAGGTGGGGTCAGCCAACCCCTAGGGGGCCCACCTGTCAGCCCACGTTTGTTCCACCAACTTATGGGATGAATCTCCGCCATTAATTCAAGTTAGTTTGCATAGAAGGACAAGATTAAGGTGTGACACGAATCGATGACGTGGCAATTCCTTGCCTCCTACTCATTCCCCACTATAAAAGGCCCCGAAGGCCCTCTCCAGAAAGGCATTGGTTGATAGAAAAGCTCATCCAGATCAGAGAACCACCTCAAGAGAGAAAAGCTCTACAAATATATATTCATAGCATAGTTTAGTTGAGTTAGATCAAAGTAGAGTCAGGCTGCTGCTCGGATTTCGGATCTAGTCATTTGGAGGCTTGGTATAGCCCTTGTATTCTTCAAATCTATCTAGTTTATGACTTCAATCTTCATCAATATCATGTTCTTAGTTTACTTTGAGTATATGCTTAGTATAGTCGGAGTTATCACTATATCTATGCATAGGATCACAGAGCGCTCGATTAAGTGTTCGAACTGGTTGAGTAGCCGAACTCTGTGTAAGCGTGGTGCTTATACATTGTTTTGCCTGTGGATGCACCCTAAATTCCGGGTGTGGTAGATCTATTTGGGAGACAACCTTGTGGATCCTCTGTATTCCATATCCCGTTTGTAGGACTATCAGGACCTGTGTCGTCAATGGAGAAAGTATTACTATACTCCACTTAGAATGATGTCCTCTTTGCATAAGTATAGAGTTAATCTTTTGCTATTGCTAGTATATACAATGACTTGTATGCTTTGACTTGTGATTAAGACGACTTAGGAATTTATCTCTATTTTAGTCTACTTAACTTACTATTGCTATTTGGAGTCTCTCTAAGTGTTATGCTTATCATATTTATACATATATTTTGGTTCACCCCTGTCTAGATGTAAGTGTTTAGTTAATGGATTGATCATAAGTATAAGTTTATCAATCTCTTTCTAGCCACCATTCCTCCCTGAGGTAAAATATAAATAACGATACCTGAAATACTCCCAGTGATGTGCTACAATGTTATATCTGTGCACTTGCAGAATTCATATTTTCTTATTTGCACTATTAAATACCAATAAACATTTCTGGTGTCGTTGCTGGGACTACAATCCAAGTAGCAATGCTATAAAATATCAACAAGCATTTCTAGCGCCATTACCGAGGAGGACAAAGGCAATAGAAAGAATTGATTAAACTCTACTTAATGGTGGATCAAAACTATTGACCACTGCTCTAATAGGTTTACCCTTGTTTTTATCTATTTATGTCTTATACAGGGTAGTGCGTGACTGGTTTCAACCGTCCGAAAAATTTCATTGAAGATTCAGAATCTCTTATCAGGAAAAGTAAGAAGAACAAGGAAGCATCAACTTCCCAATCAAAATCAAACCAGTCAGGAGGTAGCTCAATAACAGTTTCTGAAGCCATGGCTAAGAAGACTCTCCGTGAATTCTCTGCACCAAATGCCAATAACATTTGTAATAGACCAATCATCAACACTGGAGATGCCGCATTTGAACTCAAGCTAGCTCTCATTAACATGGTGCAAGCTAGCCAATTTTGTGGAAAGGCACATGAAGATGCAAGTGCCCATCTTCAGCATTTAATGGAGATTTGCAACACATTTACTATCAAAGGAGTCACTCAAGATGCCGTGTTACTTTGCCTCTTCCCATTCTCGCTTTTGGGAAAGGCGAAGCAATGGTTCTACGTGAATAAAGACAACATCAATTCCTGGGCAAAGTGCTCCAATGCATTCTTATCAAAGTTCTTTCCAGTGGGCAAAACCAATGCTTTGCGTGGAAGAATTTCAAGCTTCCAACAGCAAAGTGATGAAGTAATTCCTGAGGCATGGGAACATTTTTAAGAATACATTTCAGAATGTCCTCATCATGGGATGGAGAATTGGTTGCTCATGCAAACTTTCTTCCATTGCTTAATCAATAGCACCCGTGAAAATGTAGACACTGCTGCAGAAGGAGATTTCTTGTCACTCATTATCACTGAAGCAACAGCTCTCATAGAAAAAGATGGTTTCCAACCAAGGCTGATCGGAAGAACGCCTTCCACCCCACAAGAGAGGAGGTATGCATACAATCAAAGAAGTAGACATGCTGCCTGCCAAGATGGGCCTACTAATGAAGAGGCTTCAAGATCGAGCCAATAAAAAGCAACACGTCATGTAAATCTTTGATTCACACATGACATGTGAAGTCTCTGAAAACACTAGACACGGGGAACAATTGTCCCGAAACACAAGAGGATGTGAACTTCATCAACAACAACAAGGACAAGGATGGGGCCAACAATAGTGGCCCAATTATTAAGTTAATTATCAAGGTAACTACCAAGGTAATAATTTTAATAATTTCAATAATTCTTATAATCAACCATCCTTGAGAGATTTAGTTTTAGGACAAGCTAAAATCAATGATAATATATCTAAAAAGCTTGCTTCTAATGGCAAAATCTTAGAAAATATAAATAATAAAATAGATAGTTTCCCACCTGCCATAAAGAACCAGCTTAGCTTTAATAAAATGCTAGAATCAAAAATAGCTCAGTTGGCATCTGCTATCCCATCAACCGAAAAAGGTAAGATTCCGGGGCAACCAGAAGAACCCGAAACAGTGAACATTATTGAGATGGTAGATACAAATTTCTACAAAGAAGCAAGTTCTGGAGGATGGCGGGGTGAATCCATGCTCGAGAAAAGAGGTGATTTTGGACGACCTGTCATTCCAATCAAGATTGGGCCTCATGGTTTTGAAGAAGCCATTTGCGACCTTGGTGCATGCGTCAATGTTATGCCAAAGGTAATGTATGATCACATTTTACAATTTGGTAATTTATTGTACACGACCATGCTTGTGAAGCTTGCAGATCAACCCATTCGCAAAATAGAAGGGATTGCAGAAGATATTTGTATACGAGTTGGAAGCTCGTATGTACCTATGGACTTCGTGGTTTTGGACACCGGCCATGATTTAAAGGAACCCATCATCCTAGGACGTTATCTCTTACATACTACTAAAGAAAACATCTATGCTGATAGTGCCAAAATCTGCTTTACTATTAAACATAGAAAGGAGAGATTCTCTTTTAAATCTCGCAAATTGCAATCTCCTAACATGTCACAGGTACAACCTCCAATTCAAGAAGCTAAAGGCAAGAAGAAGAATCTGCCTCAAAAAGCAAGGAAGTTCAAGCCCATG